AATTTTTTTCGCTCACGGGAGACTTGATCGAGGCGGGGGCCAATAATGCTCATGAAGCACGTGAAGCTCGGCTGAGTGGCCTGCTCGAGTCCCCTCGGAAGCAGCCTACTGACAGACGACTCCCAACTCTGGACCTGCCAATGTTCTTCGGGATCCTTTCCGACTGGCTGACCTTTGTTGGCCTTTTTGATAGCCTAGTGGACGCCCGGAGGGACTTGACACCAAGCCATAAGATGGCATACCTCCTGGCCTCACTGGAAGGGGAGTCCTTGGGCGTCGTCGGCCATTTGAAATTGTCAGACAACGCCTACCAGACCGCTCGGGACCTCCTCGCTGGAAGGTACGCCAACGTCCAGCAAATTGCGGACGAGTACGTTAAGCAGCTGCTAAAACTCTCGCTGCTTAAGGACCGGGCCAGACTACGTCCGGACATCGTAAATCCAGTCTTGGTGGCCTGTAATTCTTTGAGGCGGCTGGATTTACTGGTGGACGGTATGGTCCTTTTTGTTGCTCCACATTGTGCTGTCCCGCCTGCCTCTCGATCTTCGGATCCATTTTGAGGAGAGGTACAGCGGGGACGGCGCCTCCTATATTCTGCCTTTCAGGGACCTGCTGCGGTTCTTGGAGGAGCAGTGCAGGCAAATTAAAAACGCAGCAGGCACCGTCGACGACCTACAGACTGCCAACCGAGCCGTGCCCAGGGAGAGGCGGAATCCCCCGGGCAAGTCGTCGCCAACCCCCCTCAGACCGAGCGGAGCTCCCCGCGGGAGGACACCGCCCCTTACCTTCTTATAGTGGCCTAGTGGCCAGGGAGGCGCCCCCCTGCTCCTATTGTCGAGCATCCGATCACCGGGTGACGTTTTGCCCTAAATTATTGATTAAGCCGGTCCCAGCGAGACGAACCATCGCCAAGGAGCGCCGCTGGTGCTCCTCGTATTTGGAAAGGCATCTCCAAGGAGACTGCCCGCATCAGCGGCCCTGCCCGCACTGCCAGGGCAATCGCCATGCCGTTTTGTGCCTGGGTGCGAACGGCGCTTCCTCTCGGGGCTCTGCCGGGCCCTCAACCCGCACGGGCGGGGGCGCACAGCCACGCCCTCTGTTGGGTGATGCTCGTCGCTCCCCTGCCGGCCACCGTCCCCTGGTTTTAAAGGGGGTCCCTCCCCCCTTTGGTCGGTACTGGTACTACGGGGTTCATGCGACCTCGAATTTGTCCAGCGCCTCAAGGCCGAGGTTCCCCGAAGCTCCCCAGGTCGGCCGGTGAATTCCAACCACGGGTCATTTAGAGGCCGCCTGAATGCCGCTTTCGGGAACCCCGGTTCGAGTGCCGGTCCGATGGAGGCTGCTACAGCTAGGTAGCGGCCGCCCTAGCTCCCACCATGGCCGCCTCCACTGATCCACTAAGCCGTCATCAGTCCACTTGTCAAACTATTCTATTACCGACAGTCTCAGTGAAGGCGTACAACCCGACTGTTTAATGGTTCGCGCTCTATTGGATTCGGGTTCACAAGCTGTGTGGCCTCCACTTGGTTGGTGGGAAGACTAGGGCTCTAAATATCTAACGTTTTGTTTGAAGATAAAATATTTGAGTAACTTATTATATTTAAACGTTACAACAAATGTTACATTCAACGTTATATGTTAAAGGATTGTTAGTAGAGCTTACTATCAGAGTTTGTGACATTTTACCTTTTTTACGATGTAACTCTTAAAACGCGTCCCTTTTGTTTTTTGTTTTTGTTCTTGTGTTTTTTTTTCTTGTGCTTTTATTATTGTGCTTCGGTTGCTGGTAACTCACCATCATGTTCAGAATGCTGCTATAATATAATGCGGCTAATTTGCAGCGGGAGTTTTGGATTTTGGCTGGCCGACGCACCATTCGGAGCGTCATTTTTAAGTGCATATCTTGTTATAAATTGAAGGCCACTATATCGCAGCCGACGCTGGGTGACTTACCACCCGACCGCGTCAGAGCCATCCGAGCATTCGCTGGAGTCGGAACCGACTTTGCTGGCCCCTTCCTCGTCAAGTCCTCCAACCTTCGTAACGCGCGTTCACATAAAGCCTAACTGTTCGTTTTCGTGTGCCTCGCCACTAGGGCCGTTCACTTAGAACTTGTAAGTGCCCTCAGCACTGAAGCCTTTGTGGCCCCCCTGGGCCGCTTCGTATCGCGTCGTGGTTTGCCGCGGATTGTGGAACGAATTATAAGGGCACGGATAGATATTTGAAGGAGGTCGTCGAATTTCTGTCCAGCAACAGGACTTATTTAGGTACTGCGATATCCAAGAAGGGTATCCAGTGGAAATTCGATACTCCGGCTTGCACACGCGTGGACGGTGATTTGAGGCGGTGGTTGGGGTTGCAAGAGCGCATCTCCGTCGCGTTATTGGCGAGGCTATTTTGACATTTGAGAAGCTTGCCATTTTATTCTGTAAAATTGAGGCGGCGCTCAACTCTCGGCCCCTCTGTCCCCTCTCGTCCGATCCGAATGCTTTGGAGGTTTTAACCTTGGGCCACTTCCTGATTGACTAGCCGCTTAACGCCCTGCCGAGTACCCCTTCAGGAAAACAAACTCTTCGCGGTCGGGCAGATTTGACCTGCTGCCACAAATGACTCAGAGTTTTGGCACCGATGGTCTCTGGAGTACCTACATCTTTTGCAGCAGCGCGTTAAGTGGTCTGACAAGACGGATCCTCCTCGGGTTGAAGACCTCGTGTTAGTTAAAGAACCTAACGCTTTGCCTTTATATTGGCGCCGTGGGCACATTGTTAAGTTGTCGTATGGACTGGATGGGGTGCCTAGGGTGGGCGAGGTTTTGGTTGGAGATTCGGTTTTGGAACATGCCGTCGCGACCCTATCCGTTTGCCAATTTACTCGCGGGCATGAAATGCGGACATGTCCTGATGCCCGGGACGGGGGTTTGTTTACGCCAAATCATAACTCTTGAAACTTGCAAGGCGCGTCCCGGGCGAGAAACCAGTTAGCGGGTTGCGTGGCGGCAGGGGGGTGGTATTCATTTGCGCCGGCGACCGCGCCTGGCAGTCGGCAGGAATCTTTGTGCGCTGAGGCCGTGCCGGTGGGGGTCGCGAGATTAGCCTAGAACATTCATTAGTACGTGAGCGAGCCGTGTCGATTAGAGGTCACGAGTATGGTTAAGAATTGATGCGTCGCATAAAGACGCCCTCTATTGTGTTGTAATTTGTCGTTATTGTACGTTAAAACGAGGCTTTGAGTTTTGATTGACTATTTTAACTTCGATTGCTATTAATTTGCGTCAGAGTGGCTTGTGTAGTTAATTAAAGTTAAAATAAATTAGTTAAAGTGTACGAAGGAATTTTGCTTTAGTGTGGAACGTTAAACTTTGTGATCGGGAGATCGCGTTATCTTAGATTATAGTTTGTGCTAAGTGACGCTAGGCTTGAATTCCGATAGCGGTGAGCGCCTGGTGGAGCATTAAACGCATGTGGTGCTGCTGAACGGTTACACACATCCACTTGCCATCAGTTGGACTTTGCGCTCGTTTTCAACCCTTATTTTATTAAAAAAAAGACATGTGGCACTCGGGGACTGCCGCGGTAAAGCTATTGCATAGCATTTTGTATCAACTTATGCAATTATAATTATTTATTTATTTTATTTATGCAGTATTTCTTTTTCTTTGATATTAATTCAAGTTACACTTTTTGAGCGTGGTGACCGATAAGAAAACAAATTTTTTTTCTTTTATTAAATAAATAAATAATAAATGCACTTTGTTCATTCATATTCAAAACACTTTATACACAAATTTTACAAGTACAGCTATTCACTGTTGTACATAAATACCTATACACCTATATACTTTCTCATAAACAGCTGCTTATGTATTCGTCCGATTTCGGAGCAGCTCGTCTCGATTCGTGCGAGCTTCGTAGAGTCGTACAATACGTCTAGTTGCACGCACACAAACACCGTATCGAAGACTGCCGAAAAGAAACGACGTTAGACAATGCACGGCCTTCAAGCCACACCTCCGTGCCCGTCGGAGTGGGGAGCGTGAGGTTTTTTCGTTAAGGAATTTCTGGATTCGGTCCCCGCGCTCAAGGCCCGCGATAGAAGCTATGCAATAGCTTAAAAATATGACTGACTTGCGTGCGAGCAACGAACAGCTGTTTGTTTAAGTCGTTTAAGTTATTGTTGGTGAAATTGTTTTTTGTGGATTTTGATTACTAAAAAGTGTCGATATCAAGCTCTTCAAGCTTTAGAAGCTATGGAGCAACTAGGAAATGCTCCGCATCGTCATCGTAAGGTTTACCAGAAGAGATATGATCCGTTTTCTTTGCCAGATGTAGAGTTCAAAAAGCGAAACCGTTAAAAGAAACATGTTTTCATTAATATAATCTTAAATGTACTTTGACATAAAATGTTTCATTAAATAAAATTTAAGTTTAAATAGACCATTGTTTATTCAACTATTATTTTTATCCCTAAACTTTACAATCCAGGATTACAAATCAAGTTATGGGTTCGATTCCCACTTTGGCAAATGTTTAGTAAGTACTTGGTTTATGATATTTCACATATTTACCTCTCGTGTAATTTGGATCTCCTCAAGTATTTCTACTGTGACATCCCTTATTGTACTCTTCGTGTCCTACAACAGTAAAATATAAAAATAAAATAGGTATGAAAAATATGAAAATTGCTAGCTATCTCAATGCTTTATGGATGCTCACATTATCTGAAGACTTGTTTTCAACATTGACAAGTTTATTTATCCCATCCACATTTTGCGATGGCTCCCCAATCTACAAACAATGCAATAAATAATTAAATTAATAATGTAATTAAGCAGGGATTTTTTTTTTTGATAACTATATCATTAAGTAAACTTTAGTAGTAGTAGTAGAGATAAAACTTGCGACCTTTAACTTAGAATCTTGACGTATGTAATACCTGATTTATTTTAATTATTCATCAGAATCAAATTCATTTGTGTCAATGACAAATTCGTTAGGGAGCCATTAACAAATGTCGTCTGCATTTTCAGGGTTCGTAGTTGGATGTGGACCACCACCAGTCTGGCGAAGATTCTTTCGTTCGACAGACTTAATTTTCTTTTTTGTCATTTTAATGATGCTCCATTGGGATTTTATTTGGGGAAGAGTGCGAGTGCCACCTTTACACATACTGTTGAAACTGGAAAAAAGTATAATCACAATTTATACAAATATTTGACATTTTAATATTCAAAATGGGCCAATCACAATGCAAGCGATCCTAAGGACTTTTCTGCGCTTTCTCATATTAGATCAACCCGTCCACTCCTATGTTCTACGAACTACGTGGACTGCCCACTGTTATCACTTTAAAAGCTTATATGCATTAGACCAGCAAGAGACCAAGTGACATGCTTCTGTTGCTTAATAATGTAACTGATTGTATATAGAATATCATTGCGAAGACTCATCTTCAAACACTTCACAAATTGATAGACAAAAATATGTACCTGCATAATAAATCTGCCCATGCTGCTAGCTTTTTTGAGTTTGTATTTGTATCAGTATTTTTATTTTCAATTACTGATACACGCTCCCTTACCAAATCTATCAATAAATGCTATGGAAAGAAAAAGGATACTGTTGTAACAACACAGTTAACTAACATTTGTGCACTAATCACCTATGAGAAAATTACTTTAGTCACGAACTAATCTTATCTTCCTCCAGCCAATTTTCACTTCTTTGCCGCTTTTTACATGTAACGTTTTCCATTATTTTTATTGAGTTATATATGAATATAAAACAAATCAATTTCTTGAATCGATTTAACGAAAACACCACGCTTGTTTTGAGGGGAATCAATTGCTGTCAAACTCTTTTTTTACCGTGGCTTGTCTATGGATTCATCAGAATGACAACATAATAAAACTAAAGTAGGTATTCCATAAATATGATTTAACTATGACAGGTTTATTGAACGTTTATGAATAGAGAATTTTATAATAGGTTTAATAATACTATTGAGCATTTTAACTAATCACTGTTATAACGCCATTTTAGTGGATTTTTATGAATAAGACTGTTACAGTAGCTGTTGGTTATTCAGGAATATTTATCATTGACACTATAGGTTTGTGATAACTGAAATAAGAAACATAAGTTTGCGACTTAATATCCTCTAAATACCTAGAAAATACCGCGTCAATGGTGGTCCAATATTTTGTTGTGGACTCTTGTGGATTATTATTCATTTTCAAATTCAATGTTTTTGATAGAAAAGTTGCCAACCGCTCTGATTTTTTATCAGCGAAGCTAATGTTGAAATCGCCAGCCAAGATAAGTGGAATTTTATTACCATTTGTACCAAGTATTTTCGACCCTTCTTCAGTGTACTCCAGTAAAGTGCGATGAATAAAATGCTCTACTTCGTCCAATTTTTTATTCGGAGAAATATAAATTGCAACCATAACTATTTGTAGGCCATTTATAAGTTTCTCCAGCCTCCAACAACTGAGCGCCTAACATTAACATCGCTAACGTGTGCAATATTTATTTCAATATTCGGAGTCATAATATTAGTAATATCATTTTTATTTTGGTAAATAGCTACCCCACCTTTTGGAACAGTATCTCGTTTGAACTGAACAATACAATTAAAATTAGGTATTTCAATCGGATTATCATGCGTCATGCAAGTTTCGGTAAGAAGTAACACATTTGTTTGTCTCGTAACTGAATCTTGTAAATCGTATTTAGGACTAGACTTAGGCAGTTGAAAGTCATTATTGAAATGCCATTTCTAATACTAATGAACTCTAATACACTTTGAGCTACCGTCTGAACACTATTTAAAGACAGTCTTTTGAATTCTTGCAACAAAGATGCAGTCGATGCAGCTTGCTTTCGATTATAATAAAACTTGAATGTAGAATTATCGTTTTTTGTCGTGATATACAATTTTTCAATATTAGTCACCTGAGAGAGCGCAACATAAACGAGTTCCTGAGAATGTGCTTTACTATACTCATATACTATTTCGTCAAAAGTTCCACCTTGCGACTTATGTATAGTTAGAGCAAGAGCTGAAGTTAATGGAAAATGTTTGCGTTTGGCTATACATTTTCTATCCGATGTTAATGAAATATTTGCTGTTCGTAATTCAATGGGAACAGCGAGATTGCCAACTCTGTTTTGTACTGCTAGAGCGGCTGCTTTTTGCCTTTTTTTCCTACCCACTTTATCTGAACCACAAAATTCCAGCCAAACTGTTATTAATGTGTTACTTTCATCAAATTCTAGATGTACCAATTTCCCAACAGCACCATTGCACAAACCATCAGTAACGTCGATGTTAGTTGTAATAACATAATGTTTTCCAACGACAAAAGTAATGTGATAAGGCAGTCCTCCAGTGTCAATAACAGATTTTTTATGTAATTTAAATTTAAAATTAGCTTCTTGCTCAGCACTTTTAGCGCCAATAATGACGTCTAGGACGTTGAAGAGCTTTGTTTTCACATTGGCTCAAAATCAAATTGTTATAGGCGGCAACATCTTCATTTTTAAAAAATAAACGAACTCCATCAGGACATAATGTAGCAACATCCTCTTTTTTGAAAAATCTCGATTCAATAAGTTGAAACTCATGCTCATCTAGTACATCTCCATTACCTATTTTTGTCAAAACTTGTGAAAATGCAACATTAGCTTGTCTCATTACTGTGGTGAGTTGATAAAATTTTAATTTTCTCCATAAATGCGGTCCAATCATGCTCGTTCTGATTGTCTTGTAAATTGGTGTCGATCTTACTGGTGGCAATTGCCGTAAATCTCCGATCAAAATAACATCTATACTTCCGAAATCTGTGTTTTTGTCTGTTATTTGTTTTAGACAATTATCAATTTTATGTAGAAGTTCTGCACTATCCATGCTAATTTCATCAATGATCAGTACTCTGACATATCTGAAGAGAGATCTATACAATTGCAACGTTTCTGATGACAGAGGCAAAAGTTTTGAAAGAGAAATTTTGAGCGCTGTATGAACAGTTGTACCGTCAATAGCCATGGCAGCTTTGCTGGTTGAAGCACATGTAATATAGGCATTGCAGTAACCATCATTATCAGTGAACCTATTGTAAATTTCCATAATCAGTTTGATAACGAATGATTTTCCCGTACCTGCTGGTCCCGTAAATAAATTTGAAATGGTTCTTGAATTGAAGTTTGTAAATGATGAATTATAGTCATAAGAATATCTCTTTGTTGATCATTGGCCATCCGCATTAAATTGTAGAATTGTTGATAATCCATTAAATTTTCTTTTTTTTAGCTACAGCGCCAAGTTTATGCAGAGATGCATTTTGTAAATCAACATTAGCAGTTGAGTTTGGATCACGTAGCAATAAGTCATAAGGATCTCTTACATGCAATATATCAACCGCTCTTAATAATTCTTCGTCTTCTTGTTCTTCATCGTTTTCTCGGCACAACTGTCTACAAATTTCTAAAGTTTTCTCTATGTCCAAATTTGATTCAAATTCTTTCCTACGTTCTAATATCGTATCTTTGTTGTCCTCGTATATTTCAATGAACTTATTTTCAGCAATAATATCATTTTCTTCACTTTGAAAAGAAACATGCAACAGAACCATCTCACGCCTATAATCGTTGTAATTGTCAGCCATATCGTAGTTCCTGTATCTTATTATTCTTGCAGTATCTCTTTTAGTGTAAGTCTCTTTTTTATTTAGGTAATATTTTGCAACAAATTGTGCTAACGTAACATCTTTTCTCATATTTATCAAGCCAATTCTCTTTCCAAATGTTCATACAATCGTCATCTAAAGCTTCAATCTCCTTCATAGATTTTCTTATTCTTGCGCGTTCAGTAGGAAATACCGTTGGCATGTAGACTGACACCACCGATGACTTAGCCATAGGTTCTCTTAATAAATACCAAGCAGCTTCTTGTGCCGGCATTTCAGCAGACTGAAGTATGTCAATACTCATTTTTTTTCGTGATATCGACAATGTCGAATTCTGGATGCTCGTCCATTATGTCAATTATTTGTCTTTGCAAATTACTAATCCCTCTATTATGCTTATTGACATATTCAACAACATATGTTGCACAAGTATATTCATCTAGTATAATCTGAAAATCCATGTTGGATTTCAAATTATGTAATACGAATGGATTGAAAGTGTTGTGCCATTTTTCTGCTGGTGTCCTTTTATAGAATAATTTTGGTCTACTGATACCAGCACGAATAATATTGTAGTAATGATCATCAGAAATAATACCATTATGAGAGTAAAATTCATCAAAATCCGTGTAGTCAATATTTTCGAGATTATTTTTTATAAATTTAGATCGTTCCTTATATTCTTTGAAAAGTGCTTCTGAGTAATCGGGATCAGTGTTTTTCATAGGTATCAAATTAATAGTTTTTTTTGTAGGCATAAATGGTGCACCAAATCGACATTCTTGTTTTTTATTAGGATCCATTTTTTATAACACGTGTATGTGTGTTTGTGTGTTACTAGTTTTATATTTCCAGACGCCTCTGACGCTGACACAGAAACTAATTCGTCGATTAATTAAATTATTTCGGGATCATTACTTAATGAATCTTCAGGAACATTGCCCAACCAAAGTTGAATATGAGCATGTGGGCTACCACGATGTTGAAATTCTACTCTTTTGAAATAATTTATTACTCTATATTTTCCGAATGGACTTCTTTTCTTTGATTGCAAAATTTTTAACAGACAATTTACCATTTTATTAAAATAGATAGCACAAGTTACGGCATCTTCATTCACAAGTTGAGCTTTATGCACATAACTCATTTCTGCTAAAAACTCATCTGAAATTTCCGTTCCCTCGTTTTTCAATTTGTACAATAATTTCAACATATTTTCCCAGCCAATTTCATTGGCGCTGAGAGTCATAAAAGCATTTGGTGGCCCTAATTGCCTAATCATTGCAAAAACATCTTTTTTGCGATCTGACCAAAACCAAGCAGAATTTGGTATGCATCGAAGAAATGAGAGATTTGTTTCTAAACAATTATTTATATATTCTTCAGATTGAATGGTCTCTTTCGTAATTGAAGTACCTTGTCCAACATGCTTAAACGCAACGTTGACACATTTACTAACTCTCAACCTCATGATTTTAGCAGCGATGTATAAAAGATGTTGTGGGTCAGTAGCACGCCTATCAGTACGCCGAAGTTCGCTGGTAGCTTGCATGAATGGAGTAACAATAACACCATCTCTGTATCATTAAAATACTGATTGGCCTGTTATATTCACCGGGTGCTATACTCAAAAAATAATCATTCATTCCACAAAAGAGTTTTTTGCTGCGCAACTAAATTGTCTTCAATTGGCACATGTTCACTTATTTCATCCATATTCAATTGCGAAGTACGTTCATTGCCGGAAAAAGAGATTCATCGATTTTAATGTCATGATAAATATAAAGAGACGTAGATACTAAATACGACAACCACTCTTTAATATGGCTCTTATTTACAAGCCCGTGGACATAACTAGTTTTGTGAATCAACTTCTTTTTCAAATGCACATAAAAGCAATGGTCATCTTCAATGTTTCTTGGCAATTGTTTCACCGTTGTATTAACTTCAACAGGTACATTAATTTTCTGGCCATAAATACCGTACTGACCATTAACGTGTCTCAGTCTACGAATCTGCATGAACGGTATTCTCGGGGAAATCAACCGTTGCTCGATAAGGTTTAACGTTGGTAAATGTGATGGAATTTTCGGATATGCAAAACCATTGTAGGTTGACATGAGAGGAATTTTTTCTTTTCCCAAAGATGTATAACACGTAGAGCAGACTTGAACAATTTCACCAGGTATGTAATTCTAAAAAAATCAAAATCGTATTATCAAGATATAGAAAGAAAAATATAAAGTAAATAATTAAAAACAAAATTACCTGCAGTATTGTTTTCAAAATACTTTCAAATTTACTGGTCGACTTTTTCAAGTCTCCTTTCCACCATAGTCTGTCGCAAATAATACAAGAATGACCGAATGAATTACTCGTATATTCTTTATAAAAATCAATATTACTTGTACTGTGTTTACGATAATTTGTATAAACTGGAATAGTACCATCATCAATAAAATCCATAGTATTTTCACCAATTCGATCTTCTCTATCAATCTCAATTTCATTTTCATGATTGTTATGGTTATCTTCGGTAGGATCTTCATCATAATTATCACGCAATAGTTCAATATTGGCATCAACATGGGCTTCATTTTGGGTAGCGTCTTGTACTGTCTCCAATAAATCTGATACTTCATAAAAAGGTGTGAAATGTTGTTCACAAAGTTGAAGAAGAATCCAGTTTTGTGTATCATTCGCTTTAAAATGACAAAAGATAGTGTCTTCATTCGTTGTAGTTATGTTGTAAAAACAATAATGTACACAAATATTTTGATTGTACATTTTTGAGAATAAGTACAAACAATCCAAATCTCCGTAATCATTACTGCTTGATAGAATGTTATATGCTTCTTGCGGATTGTGGCAGGAGTTTAAAATAGGGTGAATCGCGTAACTGATTTCTCAAGTCACAACTCTCAATTTGAAGTTGCAAAACACTTATGAGCGAGTGGAATAGACAATTACCATCGCCAGGAATTCCTGTGTTTCTGTGTAGAATAACTTCGGGAGTAATGCATTCATTACGCTGTTCATAAATATGAAGTTGTTGGCTGTGAAATTGATTTTCTTGTAGCGTTACATTTTCTATATTTTCAACAGCGCTACATTGCACTATATTCTCTTCATTACTGTATAATTTTCGTCCTTTTCTGTAAAAAAAATAATGAAATCGTTAAATTAAATAATATTGAAGCATATATTACAATTTTTTTAAATAAATAAATAAAAAATATTATTATTAAATCAAATTACATATCCATGTAACGTTGACAAAATTTCCTTTGACGTTCAGCATTTGATTTTGGTACTGTTTTTTTGTACTTCATTTTTCTTCAAATCTTTCTGACGCTGATAATATGCCCTTTGACGTGCATTAGTTTTTTTTTCTTTTTAGCTCTTTACGCTTTTCTTCTCTATAAAACGAAAATATCTAGGTATAAATAATATGTATAAATAATTTGTATAAATAGTGTAATGACACACCAAAACAAAATTATTCATTTAAAAAAAAATAACGATATTAAGAAGTGATTATCGAATTTCGCGTGATGTACATTTCTATAGATATAATATCATATATACTTTCTCTGCGCGGCATTCATGTGCATTATCTATACACCGAAAACAAAGGTACTGAATAGTACACGTGCTTGGTTCGATGGCTTCTGTTATATACATGATGAAGAATGAATTTTTATATATATATTAATAAAAGAATTTATATTATATATATATAAATATATATATATATATATATATATATATATATACACATCCCGTAACTTATTGTACGTCCACTATGGCCAATTTTACATATAATGTGGCATCAACCTACTTACAACGTCCAATATACGGACGCCAAATAGGAGACTTAGCGCAATGTTCGCGAATTATCATACTGATCACAGAAATGTCAAAATCTAAAAAAAATTGGACGTCATTTTTCTTACAATCTTGCTGTACTGAATATTTACGTAGTCCCGCTAATTTTCGCTGCAAAAATAATAGCGCTGTTCTCGATTTGTGAATACTTTCATTTATGGCCGTATTTGACTTCCGCACAAAAATTAGGAGATGCGACGTTGCCGTTCCGTCACCGTTGCCAACGTGTTACTTGTATTTGGTGATATATGGTTATAACTGCGTCGTTGGTCTAGTGGTTGTAGTAGTGCGACTGCTGATCGTGAGGTCCTGGGTTCGAATCCCGGGTCGGGCCAAAAAATCAATTATTGAGTTTTTCTGTCAAAAAATTCTCAATAGCTGCCGGAGTCAGGAAGTTGGAGGTGTATCACCCTCGTGCCTCGGAAAGCACGTAAAGCCGTTGGTCCTGCGCCCGAACTCTCTCCGGTCGGGTCGTTTTACCATCCCATCAGATTATGAGAATGAGGGAATAGAGAGTGCACCTGTGGTTGCGCATACACTTGGGCATTGGCACTGTAATCCTGTCCTGCACCGATGGCTAGTCTCCGTTGAGGATGGCCGCCGTGACCGTAATTCGGTCTGCAGGACATTATTATATGGTTTATACTGAGCTTGGTACTAATAATTTTACTTATAAATCTGTTTTTTTAACCTTACATTTACCTACACATAATATGGACATCCGAATATTCTAAAACTTTAATACTGAATGATATTTGACACCCGTTTTTTTTTGAATTTAGTTATATTTTTATAAATGTAGATGCGGACGTCGGCTTATCGGTTTATTTCATGCTGCACTATATTTTAACATTTTACATTTGGTACTAATCTGCCTAAAAGAACTCTTGTTAGGTATTTCGTAAGCAACCCATTATTTTGTTTTATTATAAGTTACCTTCTGATTGAGTACAGGAAGATGGACTCAATTGTAGATATTGACAGGTTTCATAGAAGTTTTTTTTATTATATTGTGACTAATAACCTCTGACTAATAACCTAATATCGTCTGACGAAAAAACTCATTTTAATATAAGGTTTTACTGCATTAATTGCCAATACGTTGTTAACTTCTACAATACACCGTGGCATATTGTTGCTGACATCACTCCGAAAATATAATTTATTTACTTGATCGTGTTGAATTTTGGTGCTCTCACTGCATCATAAGGATTAGTGCGACTATTGTACCTAATCTGTACGAAATTACTCTCTACTTAACTAGATTCATTTTTGTGAAAGGTTATTTTTGTTAAATTATGATATTATGTTTGGTTTTGCAGTTATTTTAATTACAATTTAATTTTTCACACACGTTTTCTAAGCTTCTAAGCATTTTATCATTTCTAGAACGAAACATTTTATAAAACACCAAATTGACTATTTTACACCGCATGGCCTCCATACACTAAAATACGAATAAAACAATAGCGAAAAATGTCATTAAATCAATGATCATTAATGCGTGTGTTATACACAAGGAATTAAAATATAAATATATTCATGGTTATATGGACGTCAAATATCGTGCGGTATTAAACTTTACCGATAACCTGACGTCATACGACGTAATTCAAATAACTACAAAACCAAACATAATATCTTAATTTAACAAAAATAGCCTTTCACAAAATGAATCTAGTTAAGTAGAGAGTAATTTTGTACAGATTAGGTAAATAGTTATATATATATATATATATATAGACGCCACGGTCTATTGTAGAAATTAACAACCCATTGGCAGTCATTGCAGTAAAACCTTATATTAAAATGAGTTTCTTCCCAAGGTCATATTAGGTTATTAGTCACAATATAAGAAAATGAACTTCTATTAAACCTGTCAATATCTACAATTAGTACTTATTTACAATAGTAAAATAAATGATAATATAGTCAATCTGTAATGTATCACGGCTGAGGAATCCTAGATATTTTTTCGTATTTAGTAAACGAATAACTAGTTGGTAAATTAATCATGATATATATCTTTTTTTTCGCCGGAGACTAAAATGATATTGCTTTTTTTCGTAACTGCAGATTCTGTGGATTTATTTCATTATTTTGAACAATATACGAAACTTAAGTGACTAAAATTAAATCTAATCTGAACCAGAATCATAAAAACTGTATTATTCGTGCTAAACGAATCTAAAATAAATATCTGTTATTTTTGTCTCCTGCGAAAAAAACAGACTATAGGAATCTATCGAATACCTACAAAATATCACCTATAAATAAAATATTACAAAGCGGAATAACTAATAAGAGTGGCAACGTCGCACTATACAAAGGAATTGCGTAGGTGGCACAAGTCGCGGGCTCGAACTCATTGGTGGGCGCGGCCAAAAAGCACGTTGTCTCACCTGGCATCGTGCCAGTCGTACTAAATTATTAGGCGCTGCGTTATCGCTTTATACTATACCTCTATGGCTCTATAGATACCTAATATAGATTGCTTATTTTATAATGTTTAGTTTTCCCCGGGTGGTCATGCAGCGATCACTCAAGAGTTCACGACGCCGCAGTAGGTACGAACTGGAACAGTCATCGCAGTTTATATCCGTACTAGCTGTTGCCAGCGCAGCGGCTTCAAACGCGTGAACTCGAAAATTATCCCACAGGAAC